TCAAATACCTTCATTTCCACATTGTATATTTAAAATATACACCATTAATTACTTTTACCTAACCAACTAACCTCTCTCGGATGAAATGGCAAATAAAACCATAGTGATTTGGGTCTTGACGTGCCCTTACCAGCAGCAATATCCAATATGCCACGTACTAGTCAAAGTAAGTAAATATCCAAATGCCATTAAAATACACTGCACACAATATCCATGTACAATATATACATACATACATAGACATTACAAAATGATACAAAGTAAGTAAATATTACTTCAATACACCTCAATTAAATTAAACATTTGCAATTAATGACAATAATCTAAGTAGACCAATGTGTAGATATAATCCCCATCATTGCATAAACCAACAACCCTCATTCTACTTTTACACTTGTAATAAAGCCCACAAATATACGCATTTCATACAACGTTCAATCCCACCATTATATGAACTTAACAATTTTGGTGATAATCAATACTTTACTTATACAACATATCATACATTTCGCAAAGAACTAATCAAATCAACTATAAAATATGTTAACATATGTAACAAAATCATCCCAATGGTTCTATGCACAATAATTTATGTACAATACCAACTAACTTTACACAAACTTTTACCAAAATATGGACTTTGGTCGTCCACGAAAAAGAACAAATTAACCTTTAGTTACACTTTTCTTCAAATTATTCGTCATTGATCTTCTTTATTGTAAAACCCTAAAAATATTGGGTCCAAAGCTCAACCACTAATGTCCACGTTAAGTATTTCTCTTTCTACTTCTTCTACACGGCGTGTAATAACTATCAGAAAGATGGACGGTTGTGGGCGACTTCTTTTAACTGCACAATGATTTCTGTACAATACAAACTAACTTTACACAAATTTTTACAAAAACATGGAATTTGGTCGTTCACAAGGAGTAACAAATTAACCTTTAGTTGCAATTTTCTTCAAATTATTCGTCGCTAATCTTCTTTATAGGAAAACCCTAAAATATTAGGTCCAAAGCTCAGTCATTAATGTCCACGTTTAGTAATCCTCCTTCTACTTATTCTATATGACGTGCAATAACTACCAGGAAGATGAACGGTTATGGGCAACTTCTTTCAACTGTATGTCAGTTGAAACACCATGCATATGTAAAATAAATAAATCTAAATCCACTATAACAACTCCATATGAAATTATATTGATGCCCTTCACTAAATACAGTCTCAATTCAAGAGCCAAGGCTATCAAAATCGGTTCGGTGGACATCTCTTTAAAAAGTACGATTTCATATATTACATCTTTTTCCACATCGATTCTGACCTCCACCAAATGTAGAATTGAATTTTTTTAAATACCTCGCCACTTTCTGCATTGGCTTTCCACGTAACCGATGTTGAAACTTATTTCTTCCAAAATGTTACTTTCTACATCAGATGTTTAATCTAACCGATGTACATAGTATATGACCCATAAATATATCCCTACTTTCTACGTTGAATCTTCAAAACTCAATGTTATTTTTCTCTTTAACCTTACTTTATACATTACTAATCCGAGATAAAGTTGTATAAAGCACCATTTTTTATTTAAGATAATGTACCCCATAAACTCTCCACACCTATTCATCAAATGCTCTCTAAGTGGGGTTTCCAAAAATTATATTACAAAATCCTAATGTCTTGTAATATTTTTCTATAAACAATTCTGCACATTTCAAATGCTTTATAGTGCTCAACTACATAGTGGCCAATGGAGAGTACAGTAGACAGTGACCAAATTCCATTACGTTTCAATGAGAGGAGAATAAAAGAGGAACAAATGGATACCGAGCAACAAAAGGTAGAAGACAATGAAGCACAAATATGAACATGTATATTAAATTACCAATTTATCCTTTTATAAATGTAATTTGTATAACTGATTTTATGTGTTTCATTTTATACCATCCGATTTTAATCATCAGTCCACATTGTTTACAAGCTTTGGAAAAAGTTTAATTTTACAACGAAAGGGAAGACCGTAAAATTGGTGGATTCTAATATCCTCCTTATCTTTGCTGGAAGTCTTTAAATAATAGCTTCTCAAAAAGCTGGATGATACTTCTTTAAGTTTTATGACCATTGATTTTATTTTTTTAATCGGATGGTTAATAATAGATGATGAAAAATAGTTACATAAGTTACCAAACCGGTTACACAATTTATCATAACTCCCTCAATAATCTCGTTGCTAACTTGTTATCTCCATCAATTAGAGGTAAGCACCAGAGCATGTAGAATACGATAATTCTTGGAAGAGTTTTCTTGTTTGGTGACAGTGCAAGTGTTAACGCTGAACACTACATTTACATGCTCTTAACTCTGGTCTTACAAAAGATTTCAAGGTTTTGTGTCTTACCATGGTGAACCCTTAATTTTAGGGGAATGAACTAGTTGAGTGGAGATCAGTGATACATGGGTGTGATGATCCTTTAATCAACCCTTTGTGGAAATAGTGGACATATGGGTGAAACAGTGGTTGGAAAGGTCAGTGATAAATGTTTTCTATACTTGGTCCTATAATGTAATTCATGAATGATAATTGAGATTTTTGAGATATTCATTGAGAGAATTTATTAATAAGTATTTTATTCATATTTCAGGAAAAAGAATCAAGAAGTGAGAGCTTAAAGGATATTAGGAATTGAAGTAAGAAAAGAACCAGAGATATACACGGGCAAGTACATGGCCGTGTACATGAGCGTGTATCTCACTGGTTGCATCAACCAAGCACAAAATCAGAGACAGAGATATACACGTTCGTGTATATGAGAGTGTATCTTACTGGTCACATCAATTGAAGTACGTCATCAAAACCAGAGATGTACACGGTCAAGGTACATGGTCGTGTATATGAGCGTGTACTTTTTAGAAAAGCTTTCAAGGGCAATTTTTAGAAACCAGAGATGTACACAGTCAAAGTACATGGCCGTGTACATGGAGCGTGTACTTTTAACTTACATCAGAATTAAACTTCTATGACAAGATGAGCCCTGAGACCACTCATATAAAAGAAAACTTGGCACAGAAACCTAGGAGGACGCCGTTTTTGGGAAAGAAAGAGTTAGTGACGCTGGGAGGATGCAAGGAAGATCTTTAATTTCTTTCTTTTGTAATTGTAGTTTCGACATGTTTAGGTTTTAATTTTTCTTTGAGTATCTAGACGTAATGAATCCTATTTGACCAAACCTTCTAGAATTCTTCTTAATGTTATTCCATGTTCTCTTCTCTTGAGTTTAATTGAGTAATATTAATTGTCTTCTATCTTATTTTCTTGTTTGATTTTGAGTAAAAATCCTGCATGAATTTACCATTACTCAATTAAAAGGACTTGAATGTATTTCTAAAGATAGAAAGGTATGAGTTTTCTGTATTAGGAATAACCCTAATTATAGAATTCATAATGAACTTCATGCAACCTAGGGGAACTAATTAAAAAAGAGATTCTGATTAATCAACCAAAGGTTAGGAACCATTATTCTTGAGAAAGGTATTGGTTTAATTCAGGAATTTTTGCAGCAACAAGGGACTAGAACTAAGTAGTTAAGGAAGAATTTCAGTTATTTGGACATTTAGGAGGATTTACAATCTAGATACTCACATATTTCTCTTGAATACATTTAGTCATACTTTTCTAGATTTTATTTTCATATAAATTTGTTCCTTTTAAATTGTTATTTTCTTAGTTTAGCAAATTTATCAACATAATTTTTTACCAATATTCATTAATAATTAGGTAATCAAGGAAGAAATTCTTAATAATAGTCCTTGTGGATATGACACTTAGTACTCTAATTTTCGCAATATTATTCTGACAATGGATACACTTGTCCAATAATCGATTTTTTACACACCAATTAGACTTTTGGTGTTTTTATATCTTTAACCACAATTGTGACATAGCCATGGCCAAGAGATTGTTTAACCGCATGTTTCATTCATTAACAATGAAACGTTACAATGATAGTATTGCACTGTTATGTTATCTATGTCAGAGACTCTTTTTGGTTGCTCATTATGTAATCTTAACCATTGAATTAAAAACACTTCAAATCAACACTGGAGAAGCCATATAAATTTTGAAGAAGCTATCCTTCAAAGACTTCTAACAAAGATAGGGAGGATATTAGAATTCACCAAATTAGGATCACCACAAATGAAAGGAGAAAGTGCTTATAAACTTTTGTTTGTGTGTAAAGGCTTTTACTTCCTTTGATCCAAATGCGATAGAAATAAAAAAAGTGGTGTGTCTCAATCACTTGAGCAACTTTGCATGTGCAACACTTATCATGCATAGAGCAAATGACGTTTGTCCATCTTAAGCTCATTTTTCAAGAGAATGGCCATTCAAATGAAACTTATACTTTGATATTTTGTTTGTAAACTTTATTTATAATGACAAAAAAAAAAAACTTACTTTTAAGCATTGTTACAATAAAGTGAAAGCGTTAACTTCTTCTTCAAAATTATTTTTATATTAATTAAAATATTTTAATTTTTAATGTGTATAATTATTAATTATTTTAATTTTTATAGTTTTGATAATTTATTTATAAATTAAATAAAAAATATTTTATTATTCAATACATATAATTATCAATCATTTTAATTATCAATTGTCAATTGTCGATTAAATATTATTTATTTTAATAAAATAATTAACTTCCACATTATAATTTAAAAAATATTATTAATTTAATTTCTATAAAATTAAATTTTTAAGTCTAAAAATTGTTTAAAAATTAAATTAACAAATTTTGAAGAAAAATAAAGTTGAAAGTATGTAACGTGTTTAAATAAATATTATGTTCAGTATAAAGACTATTTCGATGAAACCATTTAAGACTAAAATGATTTATAGTTACATAGTTTAATAATAAATAATTATTTTAATCCATTTCAATCAAGGGTATATGTGTCAATGCATCCTCCATATAATCCTCATCTCTCTCTTCTTAGTTACACAGGTTGACTGTACCCAACTTACGCTTCATTCCTCTTCCCAACCGCTTATATCTTTCTCTTCCTCGCGACACTGCCCTCGTAACTTTCTGTTCCAACGTCACACTCTGTTCATCAAAGAATTCCACTAGACACAATTCTTGTTCTGGTTTCACCTAAGATGATAACATGAGACCAGGTAATAGATACCCTTCTTTTTAATGTTCGTGTTCATGTTCATGTTACACAAGCTTCTCTGCATTTCTTTAACTCTTCCTACTCCTGTGCTTTCAAAGTTCAAACCTTTTTTTTGTGTGTTTATGGGGCACTAGCAGGTTTTATGGTTATATATCTTTGATCGTGGAAGAGGCATGGCTTCTTTTTCTTTACCTTGCACTATTGGGTCATTTGTTGCCCCAATTATTGCACAAAGAAGATATTTTGAGGTGTGTGGTGGTTCTTGCACTAGTGGGTCATTTGTTTCCCCACTTATATTTCAAAGTAGATATTTTGGGGTGTACGGAGGTTTGTGCAATAGTTCATTTTCTTCTTCTGGCTTTAACCAATTCTGCAAATTTCAAAATGGGTTGGTTTGGAACCAGAACCTTGGTTATTGTGATAGAAAAAATAGAATTTCCTCATCGAGGTTTCCTTGCTGTTGTAAGACTCAAGATGGTTTTTCTGGTAACAATAAAATTGAGCCACTTGTGAGTAGAAGCAGGGGTGACAAAAAGACCCAATATAGTAAGGGTGAAAGTGATAGGTTGAAGAAGAGATTTTTGTTGAGATTACGCCCAAGGATACGGTTATTAGCTATGAGAATGAAAAGGGCTTCCATTAAGTCCATTTTGAATGAGGTTGGAATCTTTATTCGTAAGAACATTAGAACAGTGGCATTTTCTACTTCACTTTCTGTTGTATTCAGCCTTTGTTTCTTGTTTCTGAAAGTGACTGCACTCCCTCCTCCAAAAATTGTCCCGTATTCAGACTTGATCACGAGCCTTCAAGATGGATCTGTTGCAAAAGTTTTGGTTGAAGAGGGGTCTCGACGTATATATTACAATATGAAGTCCCAAATTGTTGAAAATGATGAGGTTTCTGGGGAAGAATCACAAGTAGCAAATGTTTCAATTGATAAGAATATTGATAAGATTGGGAGTGAGGATACTTCAAGAACTGGCCAAACTCCAGTAAAGAATATATTGAAGAAATTCTCTAGGACTCGAGCTTCTATTCCTGAGTGGGAGTATTCCACAAGAAAAATAGATCATGATGAAAAGTTTCTTGTTAGTTTAATGAGAGAAAAGGGGGTTTCATATAGCTCTGCCCCTCAATCTGTATTAATGTCAATGAGGAGTACTTTGATCACTGTGATAACACTGTGGATACCTTTAATTCCATTGATGTGGCTTCTATATCGTCAACTTTCTGCTGCTAATAGTCCCGCCAGGAAGCAGAAGCCTAATAGTCAGACAGTTGGATTTGACGATGTGGAAGGTGTTGATTCTGCAAAAGTAGAGCTCATGGAGGTAATTATCTATACTATAATGTTTACAAAAATTATGTAACATAAAAGTGATTTTTACTGTATTGCTAGTTTGGTGAAGGTGTGGATTTTAATGCTGACATGATTTATTTGTCCACCGCAGAAGAAATATCATCTTGTGTTAGCTATTGGTGTTCAGTTTGCAATTTTTTGGCCCTTATTTTTAGAAAGATTCTGAATGCTGGGTAAACTAATGCTAATCAGTTATTTATGCAAGTAATATTAGAACGTAATTTTTTTGTCCTTTTCTTTTTCTTTTGAATTTTCAGAGTCCTGTGATCTGAAATATTATTATCAGTTATGACATTGCAAGAAGAATTACGGAACCATTTTGTTGGAGAAGATCAGAAGGTCTAGTTGACTTGGTAGTATTGTAAAGTGAATATTAGTGTGGGCAGATAGTAGTAGTTTACTAGAAATGAAAAACATCTTTTGTTTTGATTTCATTTTGCATTTCTATTAATTTATAACTTTGAATTTAGAATTAATGATTGATTGTAACATGTGTCTTATGAAAAGGTAAAAAAAGCTTAGAAGCTTTTAGTATTAGGAGCTACGAAAGTGCCGCTAACTTAATGTTTTGTAATTTGTAAGATATGACAGTGTTTATAGATAATATTCTTGTTTTCTTTATAGCCAAATTCATAATTCATTATCTTGGAATAATAATTATGTTCAAGTCCATTTGACTGTTGTCCAGATAAAGAAAACTTTGATCGTGCACTTATGTTATATCCTAAGGTTTCATTGTGTACTTTTGTTAGATCTTTGCAATCTAAAAGGAAAGGAGTGATGCAGTTCCCTGCATTGATCAATACTATTTAAGTATTCTAAGATAGGTCATACTGCTTGCTGTTGCCATATGAACATACTAGAGCAGGGTTGGACAACTAAGACATTGAGACAAGGTTTACGTGCCAATTAGATGTGCTAAAAGTATATCCTCTGGCAATAAATGATTTTTAAAATTACTCCTACCTCTTTGTTATGAGTATAACCAGCGGCAATTAGATGCTTTATCATGAAAGTAAACACAATTGCATAAAAAGTATTGTAGTTTGAAATGTTATATTTGTATGAACTATTAAGTATTCTGTTAGGATGGATAATGAAATGAGGGCTGAATAAGAACAGTTATTAGTCAGTTACTCTATCTGTTAATTAGGTAGAAGGGGTGAGTTAGTTAATTCGTTCTGTGAATCTGATAGTGTGTGTGAAAGGAGAAAACCTATGTGAAGGGGAAACACTTTGTGGAGAGACCTCTTTCCAATTCTCAATCATATAATATTGTTTATTTCTTTTCATTTGTTTCTATCAATTTTCCAGTTCTTTTTTCTTGGTTTGTACATATTCATTGATTAGTGTCCAAAGTAGATTGCTTTGAGATATTTGATCAATTTGTTGAAAAATATTAGAGAAAATAGTGGTTTGGAAGAGAGAAGGAGAGAGAGTTAGAGAGGCAATGTGAAAATGTAAGAATGTTGCATGAGAGAATTATATATCATGTCAATTAATCAGCCCTCAATCAAGATCCAATCATAGAATTTGGAGGACTAAATTGTAACAATTGGAAAATGAATTTCCAGTTATACTAGAGTGAGTTAAAATATTTTATAACCGGTACCTTTATATATTGATTATTTTGTTTGTTTAGTAGATTTTTTTTCTTGTCAATGATCAAGCAACTTTATTGTATTCCTTCTATTGACTCAGTCTCTTTTTTGTAGATAGTTTCATGTTTGCAAGGGGATATAAATTACCAAAAGGTAGGGGCAAAGTTACCTAGAGGTGTGTTGTTGGTGGGTCCTCCTGGAACTGGGAAGACATTACTTGCACGTGCAGTGGCAGGAGAAGCAGGCGTACCCTTTTTCACTGTATCTGCCAGTGAATTTGTGGAGTTGTTTGTTGGAAGAGGGGCAGCCAGAATCAGAGACCTTTTCAATGCGGCAAGGAAATTTGCACCATCAATCATATTCATTGATGAACTTGATGCAGTTGGAGGCAGGCGTGGAAGAAGTTTTAATGATGAACGTGACCAAACATTAAACCAGGCAAGTTTATTTAATCTTTTGTATTTCTTTAGTGCAAACAAATGATCAACAGTTTGTTGTGGCTCACTACTGAATACCCAGCATTCTTTATATAGTGTAATGTGTGGAGGGGAGACAATGTTCAAAAGTCTAGTTTCTTCAGCTGTTATTTCACAGTATTAGTGTATACTTTCTACATGAGAAGAAAATACTTCATTTATTAATTGGAATTTTATGAAAATTAGAAAACTATCCATATGCTCACAATAGTAGTATATGCTCTATAAGCTGAACTTTAAAGTATTTTTTGTTCATGTAGTTGTTGACAGAAATGGATGGATTTGAGTCAGAGATGAGAGTGGTTGTCATTGCAGCAACTAATCGGCCAGAAGCCCTGGACCCAGCCCTATGTCGCCCGGGCCGTTTCTCAAGAAAAGTATATGTAGGGGAACCTGACGAAGAAGGAAGGAGAAAAATTTTGGCTGTGCATCTAAGAGGAGTTCCTTTAGAGGAGGACACTAACATCATTTGCCATTTAGTTGCTTCTCTTACTACTGGTTTTGTAGGAGCTGATCTGGCTAATATTGTCAATGAAGCTGCTTTGCTTGCTGCTCGTAGAGGCAAGACCTACTCTAGATTTTATGTTAATTTCACCTATAAGCTTATTGCATTTAAAAATTAGGAGTAAAACATTAAATTACTCCTTATTAAAAGACAATCATTTTAGCCCCTTAAGTCATTTTCAGTGACTAAACTAAAATGACATTTTAATATTTAATAGTTTAAGGGATTAATTTAACTTATTATCTAAAAGTTAGCTTTCTTCAGTATATTGTATCTCAACTTATGTTAAAGCTTTTTGGCTGTATATCAAGTGTTGTAACTCCTAATCCATATATAAATTAATTTTAGTTGTCTATTATCTCCCAACCACACATCCCTTTTGCCTTCATTCCATCACTTAGTTGAATTTGGTGGCATTGACCATTAAGTCATACGTATATATTTGAACTTTGCAGGCAGTGAAACTGTGGCAAGGGAAGATATAATGGAAGCTATTGAAAGAGCGAAATTTGGAATCAATGATAAACAACTGAGGTCTAGTAAAATAAGCAAGGAGCTAAGTAAGTTATTCCCTTGGATGCCATCATTGATGGGAAGAAGTGATAGGAGACAAGATGACATGCAAGGTCCACTAGGTTATCAATCATTGAGTTCGTGAATTTGCATGCTGAATTTGCCATTTTTCCCCTCTCAATATTTGTTTCCTTATGCTTTGTACGATGCTCAAGAATACACTATCAGCATAAAGGGAAAATATAATAGCTGGTGACACCCAAGTTTTTTGCACTATGCACTTGATGCCACTTCGATCCTTGACATGAACATTTTAGGCAGCTATGGGGTTAGTATTCTCACTCTTTATATTGCTATTGTGCATCAGTTTTATTCTGCAATTAATTTATATCATCTTTAGGTTGTCTTTGGAAGAGTAATTCTAAATTACTAGATTTCAGGTATTTGAATAATAAGGAATTTCAAATAATGTCTTCAGAAATAATTTAAAAACTCCTTTGTCTATTATTATGCTTAATTTTTTGTAATTATCATTTGTAGTTCCTTTTATACTTGACTGTTACTTTAATCTTTTCTCATTATTGATTTCATATTCTCGACGGTTCTAAAATTCTCTGTTCAAATACTAACCTTGAAAAACTTGTTCCATCAGATATCACAACATCAAAAATTTCCTTATAAATGAAGTTACCTATTTTCAAAATTACCTGTTGTTAATTGCTTATGTAAACACTATATATAGTAAATTGACAGTGGTTTTCAATAAAAATTAAATCTGTCTCTATATATGATTGGAGTTTTTATTTTTAAACGAAAATATTTTCAAAGGTCATCTATTTTCCGGTGTTAATTCTCCTTTTCATAATTTATTTTTTTAATTTTAAAATTTCTATGTCTTTATTTTAATTTTGACATAATAGAATTTTTATTATTAACAATTAAAATATATTATTTATTAAATTTAAAAATAATTATAAAACATTTTAAACGAACAATTTTCTAGTTTATTATAACTTACCAGTTGTAGCTTAACTTCAAAAACATTCCAAACATATACTTTATCCAATTGTATATAAGTTTTGTATCCTAAAACTATGCTTTATAGTGTTAATATTTTGTGGTCAAATATAATAAAAAGAATATAATAAAAAATAATTTATTTTTCTTTCAATTGTTTGAATTGTTTCAATAAAATAAATAAATAAATTTATCATGATTATAATATAAGCATAAATCAAACAATAGATTGTGTTAAAACTATAAACAGGTAAAATAAATAAAAATTTAAATGACTAAACTTTTAGGTCATTATATGTGCTTGATACTGTATCAATGCTAGTTTAGAAAATATAAGAATATGTTTATGAAGTGATATAACAAGATATTCTTATGTAATATTTCATTCTTGAATATGTTATTTTGTGCATACACTATACTTATATTCTTAAATATACATGTCTGACCTCAAAATAAGTCTTTAGAAAGGTTAAATGCATTTTTTGGAATTTAAATAATTTTTTATTCTTTAATCTTATTTTGTACATTAGCCAATAACAATTTTCATTCCTATGTGTGAGCATACTCATGGAAATCTTTCTTAATTTTTATTATATTTTGTTAAGCTGAGATTTATCTCCATTTTTTTGTTTGTATTATTCAAATGCTATTTTATTATTTCAGGAATACTTCTCTGTTTGGGAATTTGTAGATACAAATTTGAGAGGTGTTGTGCAAGTGAATCCTAGCCTAAAAGAAAGCGCATCACTTTCAAGCTTGTAGAAACTATTAGAGATTTGAAAGAATTAATTGTTTTTTTGCATTATGCAGATGAATTTGCTATAAAAATTAATCACTACTAGTTATGTTTTACTTAGAACTTTCTTTTACCAGTTATGCAGCTTAATTCTTATTTCTGATAGGTACAACTTCCACTGTATGTGATTTGCAATATTTTGGTTGATTTGGAATGAACTAATATGGTCATTCCAAGGTTTGACTTTTCTGATGCAAATTTCAACAAAGACTAAAGATTTTATTATTGATGCTTTGAAATTTTGTATTTACATGTATCATCTAATATTGAATGCTCTTTCTTGTATTTACATGCAATACATGTAAATTTCAAACTTACATGTAATGTTTGAATTTTTGACTTTTCTGATGCAAATTTTATATTTGGAATGAAGTAATATCGGTCATTCCATTTTCATTTGTAATTTGTTTCATACTTATTGTTTAAAAGTTTTTAACTTTTCGATGAAGTAATACATGTAAATGTTCTTTCTACCTTTGATTCTCTTTACCATGACCTATGTTCTTTATCACATGTTTGCAAAATTTTTACAATAATCTTATCTTCACACTAACCAATTTTTATTACATTGTTTAGGCTTGGAAGATGTTAAAATTGGAGAAAAAGTTGTAAATAGGGAGTATGTTGTGTTCATTTTATCTTTTACTGCAATCTTTATATATGATTTGTAAATACTAACTTTGAACGAGATCATTTTTACAAGTATTTAAAAATAAGGATGTTTTTTGGGTTTTTTTTTGTTTTTTGTATCATGCTAAGCGTTTTTTTTTAGATTGTATATTCAATTTTTTAAAATTCATTTAACATAATAAAATATTTATTATTAACAATTATAATATTTTCTTTTTTAAAATTTATAAAATTTCTTAAATTACAAATAGTCATATAATATATGTTAAATTATTTAAAAAATTAGTTTAATGATAGAAAAAAAATTATTAGCTTTTGAAATCCTATCCTACCATTTTTAAACTTATTTGCTTTATTGTTGTTTTTAGCATGAATTTTTTAATTACTTAAATTATGAAAATTTTATAAATAAAATCTTTGCAGATATTATAATGCAGATTGAAGATTGTGTCGTCTAAGTAAATAGATATTAAGATATCAATTAATATAAACTTATGAATGCTCATCCATTTTTTATTCTTTAGTGTTTTTCTCAAGTTTTATTCTTTAGATAGTCATAGTTAAATTTGTTGATTTATAGCGTTACATACCTCACCCTTTATAGTTTGTTTGGCCAAAAGGCCAAGTTGCTTGTTGACTGAAAAATTGTGTTGAAAAATGTGTTTAACCCATATAGATTAAAAGTTGCTTGTTGACTGAAAAATTGCTTGTTGAAAAATGAGGAGAAATAAAAATAAATTTATTTTTAAAATAAAAAAAATTATAACATTGAGACAAATTTACTTAATTTAATGATGTTATCTTTTGTAGTGCTTTCTTGGCCCCTATCAATTTAGTAACAAAATTAGCAAGAAGTTTTCCTTTGATCGCATTTCAAATGCAATGGTGTATTCAAACAATTATATGGTCCACCAAGTCATTTTACCTACCAGGTCAAGATTGTCAACATTTGAGAGGCCAATGTATGTTTCAGGCTTTTGAACGTGGCTTCACATGCTGGAGTCCACTTAAAATTGGCATATACTTCAGCAAGGTTATGACTCTTCCGTTCAACTCTTCCCTCAAAGACTTGGCTCATAATGGCCCTAACCGTTTTTAATCAAAATGGCATAACCTTGTAGTAATATACCCTTATCCATGAATGACAGAAATTGATATCCAGAGCAGTTATCAACTAACCTGTCATTGTTCATTTGTCACTGTTTTTTCACCAGAACCACGTTACTGGCTTGATGGAGGGATTTGTAGTCAACTTGTGGCAACAAAAATTTGGGTCAATACCTAGCATATCTATGAAAATCCATGCAAACAAATCTTTATTAGTTGTTAGGAGCTTTTTTAAACGTGCCTCTAAATCCTGATCAAGGTTGACCACAATCGAAGTGCACTTCTTAGGTTTTGGTCTGAGCTGAAGAGGAATAGTTTTCCCTTTTGACCATGGTCATTTGAGTCCAAGCTCCTACTCCAGGCTTCGAGGTCCATTATTTACACATTACGGGCATTGAGGGAGGTTTGTTTAGGCTTCAACCTTTTGCTTGGATATTTCCCTTTGAAATTTTGAAGGCTAAGATTGTACCAATTTTGAGCCATTCATTGATCCTTTCTTATTGTAATTACGTTGCCTTCATCTGTTGCAAATTTTGCTACAAGGTATTATTTTAGATGATCACTCTTAGTGCATCGAGAGAATGTCGGCCCAATGTTACTTTGTAAGGACTGTAACAATCAACTATCAAGAATTTAGTCTTCATAATTTTGGAACTTGACTTATTGTTGAGGGTTAGCCAAGCTTTTGACATAAACCTTTAGCTATATCTAGTCCCCGATAAATGCAATAAGGTCTTCGTAGTGAGGATGAGGTCGACATTTGTGAATTCCATCTTCTTAAAGACATCATAACACAAAATCTCCACTGAACTCCATTGATTGATGAATACTTTGCCAACATTAACATTGGGGATTAATGTATGGATAACAAAGGGTTGTTATGATCCTGAATCATTTATCCAAAGTTTTCATAACTTTTGGTGATTGTAGGAGTTCACTTTTTAAGGGACTTCTTGTCGGGGGTCCATATGATCATCACTTCTCTCGTCTTTGACCGCATATCCATCCGCATATCCATCCTCCAACAAAAGCTTCAACAATTACATTTCTCACAAGTTTTAAAAAAATATCTTTTAATAATAAAATATTTTAAAAAAAAATAAGAGGAATCATTATTAAAGTTTGTTAAAAAAAACTTTGAAAAACTTTAAAAATTTAATTTTTGAAACCAAAAATAAATTTAAGAGTCATTTATGTGTAGAAAGATATTAGTATCTAATAACATCTGTTCAAATAACAATTATTTTAAATTTATTATATAAATTTATTATAATTTTAAAAATATTTATTTAACCTATAAAAAATAATTATTACTATTTTTATTTCAAAGAAAGATAATTTATTTATTGAAATATTAATTTATATCTTAGAAAAGAGTAAAAAAAATATTTTGAAAATTGTTTTCACTTGACGAGGTCTGATTCACGCTCTTACATATTTCGAGTGCAATAGAGAACTCAAAGTCACATAATTCTATCATAAAAATTATGAAATTATTTTATTAATTTGAAATTTATAAGATTTTAAAGGAAGGAAATCATTTTAAGATTAATTATATTTTTTAAAAAAATAATTTATATATTTTAGAATACAAGATAGCACAATTATACATGTTATCTCACGATAAATAACGTAAAAAGCAAAGGAAAATCACACATTCATATTGTAAGTTATTGCAAAAGAGTGTGGTAATTAAGACTAAATATTTTAATTTATAAAAAAGTATTTTTAATATATATTTAAATATAAAATTTGATATTGAAAAAATTTAAAACAATGTAAGCTATATACAAATCTCTCGTAACTTATTTGTCGATTGAAAGGAATATAAATTGCACATTTGTATTGCAAAACATTATATAATAAAATGGAGAAGTAGACATAAGTAGTCAAATATTTAGTTATTTAATTTATTAAAGTTAGAAATATGATTTAAAACCTTGTCTCCCCTTTCCTCCGTTCCCCTCTTCTCCCGCAACTCCCCTTGCCTATATTTTAATATGTTGTTATTATTATTATTATTATTATTATTATTCATGAGAGATAGAAGATACAACTAAAGAAGCCAAATATTTACATAATATGTTTTTGTATATTTACTTATTTGATAATCATTATTCATTTATATCAAAAGATTTATTAATTTTAAATAAGAGAGTTGCATCAGGATCAAATAAAATGATGTTTACTTTATAAAAAAATAAGAATAATAATATAAATACAATAATAATAAAATAGAGTAAAATAAATAGATTAGTTATTTACATTGTTAAAATAAAAATATATACTCATAATATGAAATTAAATATACAAATATATATAATACACAACGTAAGTAATCAATATAAGATTTCATTGAAAAGATTTTGAGATTTTGTCTAATTTCTAAAATCTAAATCAAGAATAGTATATTATATTCACAAGCGAAAGGAATAGGTTCTAAGGTCATGTCATATCGCACACAACTTATGATGCAAATAAATAATATAATGTGCGTATATATCTTTTCGTGACTCACACTTACATCTAGAAATTCCAGTTTTATATCCTCTCTTTCGAACAAAGGAAAACAACACTAGTTAAGAGCAATGGAAGAAGGTATAATGTTAAAAAAAAAGTATTACTAAGTCTAGTAAATCTTACTCGAAGATTGGAGAAGTTATGCTATTAGTCTCAACTTGTGAAGAGAGTAGATATGGGAGTTATAAAGAGATTGCAGTTTCCATACAGAAACTACAAGTTCAAAAAAAATGGTGACTTTGGAACTTTTATTTACATTTTGTGTGAGACAGAAGAAGGGGCATCTATTTGACATCTTTCTCCTCTCTTTTTTTTTTGTCTCAGTTTCTTTTTTAAATTCCCTCCTTCTTTCTTTGTTCTTATTTTCTTTTTTCTATTATTCCACCCTCCTCTTCCAAGAGAACTCTCTCTTCCTCTTTTAAAGACCAAGCACAAGTACTTTTCTAATCAAGGCTAAAATTCCAACGTAAGAAAACTCTCCCCTCCCCTACTGATCAATCTCTTCCTCTGCAATTTTATCTTTAGTCTCCTTCAAGTCAAGTATTACTCCTCCATTTTTGGCTTTTTTCTTTTTTCTTTTCTGTGTCATGTAAAAAACTCATAGAGAAAGAAAAGGATAGTGTGCAGTTTTCTTTATCTAGCACTATCCTTTTCTTTCTCTAGCCAACTTCCGCTACTAACACTTCTACAAATTCAGTCTCAATTAAAGAGTGCAAGTGACAAACATACAATAATAAGGCATCATCTTACACATGCATATTTCTTTTATTTTTTTAATATTATTTATTTTTTATTTTAATTTCAAAAATAAACTCCAAATAAAATTTTAAGTATTTACAGTCATAACACACGGTGGAGTGTGATTTCTTTTGTCCCTTTGCTCTCCATCTCACTCTTGTTCCCAAATTGGACCTCTTGTTTTTCAATGATTGTAATCGTCTCTAGATTCCTTAAATCAATGTCAGTAATGCCCTTCATTCTTAATGGGGCTTTAGTGTTCATTGTAGGGTCAAAAAATTCTGTTGAAGTCTGCCTTTTCTAATGAACTGCTCAATGACGTTCTTTAGTTCATGGACTCATCCATAGTATGACTATAACTATTATGAAAGGCTCAATATTTGGATTGTCTTTCTGGTTTTGCTTATGAAGGGATGTAGGTCAAGGGATGGAAGCAAACCTGTGTGCATCACATCTTGGTATATCTAGCTTGGC